CACACACACACACACACCTTGTTTGTACAAGGACAGGCAGCCCTGCTTCCCAGCTTTGCCCCAGCCTGCAAAAACCAGGGCACCAAAAGTTTGCCATCCCAGAGAAAATCTTGAATTGCAATTCCAACCTCTTCAGTCTCTCTCTCTCTCTCTCTCTCTCTCTCTCTCTCACACACACACACACACACACACACACACACTTCTGTTCAATCCCTTCACCAAAAATAAATAAATAAATAAACATCCACAGCCCAACAGAAGCAGAGCCCTAGTGTTTAGTGGCCCTCTCAGCTTCGAGGCACATTGGCAGGAGGAAAGGAAGGAGGCTGGAAAAAGAAGGAGAATGAGAATGAGAAGAGGGCCGGCCGGCTGGCTGGCCGGCCGCGGGCGGGGGCCCAGCCTCAGAAGGAATTGCCCGTTGGTCTTCCCAGCCAGTTTTGTGCTCGTAGGGGCCGCCGCAGTTTCTCGGGCCGGTCTGCAGATGACAGTCAGTGCATGACGGCCTGGCAGCCCATTATCCAGCTCCCATTGAGGCGTCTTTTCACTCCCATGCTAACTCCTTGGCAGAGTCGTTTGTCTCCTCATTGTACTTTCTGGAAGAATGCGATGCTTGTCAGGGCCCTCATTCAATCGCCAGCTACTTTATTGATGAGCTCTGACTTTTAGCACTTTTCACATGTCAAGAGAAGTCAAGTGTATGCGGGGCTACGACTTCATTTTATGCTTGGCGCGTTCGTGTCCTCCTCCTCCTCCTCCTCCTCCTCCCCCACCCGTCTTTTCAGCCTCCTGGAATTTGAAGAGGGGGAGGACGCGTCTTCCTTCTCTCTCTCTCTCTCTCTCTCTCTCTCTCTCTCTCTCTCTCTCTCCCTCTCTCGCTCGCTCGCTCGCTTCCTCCCTGCCCCCCCTCTTCCTTTATGCAAGAGGAAGCGCCACCCCTCCCCCCCGCGCCCTCCCCCCCCCGACCACTCGCCATCAACGATCGGAACACCCTGAGCTCGAACTGGTGCTGCCGGTGTCACCTTAAATGCAGGCGCGGAGGGGTTGCTTTGGAGTGTACTGAGGTGTATCCTAATACTCTGCCATTCAACAAATGAACTTGTGGTAGTGTGTGGCCAGAAGTGTTGCCTGCCTTCGGCCCTGGGTTTTTCTGCCTGGGTGCAGAAGAAACGGGCGGGGGGGGGGGGATGAGATGCAAGACTGGGCCAAAACTGGTGGAAGCAAAAGGCATACCGCACACAAACACTCATCTTCATTTACGGCGGAGCGGGTTTAGTACCCCCCCTCCTCAATTCGCCTTCTCTCTCTCTCTCTCTCTCTCTCTGTCTCTCTCTCTCTTTTTTGGTAATGTCTGCGGGGGGAGGGGGGAGGTCGAGGGAACCTTACAGCTCTTAGTCAACAAACGGCACGTGGAAGAAGTTTAGGCAAGGACTCTTCAGGCCCTTTTCACGAGAGCCCTCAATACACAAAGTAAATTGTCTATTTGCTCTGCACTTTCCAGGCAGAGGGGAGAGAGAGAGAGAGAGAGAGGAGAAATTCCTTTCTCCGTCCCATTTGGAGAAAAGGGGACTGAATACCCACACACCCAACTGTAGACTTGGCTACCTCCAGGCGATTCCCTCTCCCAAATATTTATGTCGTTACCATCTGAATGTTATTTTTTTCCCCCCTTATCTCCATTGTCTGGTGGAAACTAACTGTTTAAATGCAAATGGGTCGTCTCTCCCTTCCTCTCCCCTCCCCTCCCTCCCTCCCTCGCCCGCACCAACCACGGTCGCTTTGGAAAGAAAAGGGCACTCGTTTTTCAAGCGACATTATTTATTTACTCCGGGCCCTAACTCAGAGGCGAGGGGGCGGGTGTGAGCAGAGTTGATATTTTAGTTGCAGGCAAAGAGGCACTTTGGCTCTGGTAACTGAAAGAGGGGGTGGGGGGGAGAGGAGAGAAGGAAGCGAAGGAAAGGGGAGGGGAGGGGGGAAAGAAAGAGAGAGAAACTTCAGGAAGGCCCCGGTGCTATTATTTTGGATAACTTGAGAACAAACCAGGAAAACACCTCTCCAAAGCCAAAACGGCTAAACTGGCAATTGCCCGCCGCACATCCTGGCCCCAAAGTTTCTGATTTGAGCTGGGGAAAGATAGAAGAGGAACCCAGAGCAAATGGGGGCGGGGAGGGGATGCAAGCGAGGAGGAGCGGGAAGGGAGAGAGAGAGAGAGAGAGAGAGAGGGAGAGAGGGAGAGAGGGGGGAGGGAGGGAGGGGGAGAGAGAGAGAGAGGGGGGGGAGGGAGAGAGAGAGAGAGAGAGAGAGAGAGAGAGAGAGAGAGAGAGAGAGAGAGAGAGAGAGAGAGAGAGAGAGAGAGAGAGAGAGAGAAAAGCCGGTGCGTTCATATTCAAACAAATGGGCCAATTGAACTAGGCAGTGTGAGTGAACATCCAATCGGCAGCTGGGAGGCAATGGCGTTGCTTTGCATAAAGCAATATTTTGTGTGGGAGCGAGCCGAGCATTTGCATGCGTGGAGTGATTAGTGGGTTTGAAAAGCGAACCCTGGCTCAGCCTCATTTCCCGCTCTGGTTAAGGCGCGGGGAGGAAGTGTTTTGCTGGAAGATGATGACAGAGGTCAGCCTTTGCTAATGGGCCGGTGGAGGCGAGGCAGAGACTAGGCGCACACTCACATTCATACCCTTGAACCATCACCAATCAGCCTAGGTGTGCTCTGGCTCTCTCTCTCTCTCTCTCTCTCTCTCTCTCTCTCTCTCTCCCCCCCCCCACTCTCTCTCCGCCCCCCCTTCTCTACATCCTCTTTCTTCTTCCCTCTCCAGTCAGTGTCAGCCCATTTTATTGTCAATCTCTGTCGCCTTCCCAGGAACTCAAGATCACACAACCAGCAGCGTCACTGGAGAAAAACTCTTTTACTGGCAATCCTTTTTAAGACACCATCATTTCAAATCACGGGCGCTTTTTAAAACTGTTGACAAGAGCTTTGACAACAAGACAGGATGCCTCAAAAAGGTGAGTCTACTTGCTTCTTCTCCTTAGGCTGCATGCTGCCTCCCACCTCTTAGCCGCCTTTCTCTTTCGCCCATTCTCTCTCTCTCTCTCTCTTTCTCTCTCTCACACACACACACATATCCCCCCGCCCCCTTCTTTATCTCCACTTTTATATTCCGGAGATGACCCTGGGAGACGCATCAGTCTCAAAGCTAGCTTACTTCCTCCTCTTCTTTCGTGCACCCTCCCCACCCCGAAAGCAATTTTGCCTAGCGAAGCAATGGCTGCAGCAGGGCCCAGGCTCTCTAGCTGCCTTTGACTGGACAGAACCCTCCTCCAAAAGACTCGCCTCTTCTGACGAAGGGCGACGAGCTCGCTCGAGGCTTGTAGGGACTCCCAGGACGTGCGTGGCGGATCTGACCGGGGGGGGGGGCAGGTTGTGCTGTTGTTGTTCCACTGCGCCCGCCTGGAGCTCATTCATAGATTGCTTTCTGAGGTGACTGGACCGGTCCGAGTGTGGGTGTCCTCTCTCCCCCCCCCACCCCCCAGCTTTCCCCCCTTACTTTTCTTGCTTTGTATTCCAAAGATGCAGGCGCCTGTGTGTTTGGGCGAGGAAGGAGTCCCGTTTGGGGAATCCTGGGGGCTTTATTTATGGATCTTTTATTCATGTGCCTGGTGATAAGCAAAGGGGGGGGAAGAGGGGGGGAGAGGATTGGTGGTTGTAGCATCACCTTCTAGGCCAAGTCAGCTCTGAGTAGTGGCTGTGTCCGGGATGATCTGAGGGAGCTAAAAGTCTGTCACTCTCAATCAAGTAGCCCCGAGATCTCCCCAAACTTGCCCGCCACAGAAGAAAAGGAACCGACAGAACTTTATAACTTGACCAGCATCTGGCTAGAAGTTCCCACTGTTTAAACAACAACAAAGGGCTGGGGGGGGGAAGGGAAACTGGACACACACACACACACACACACACAAAAAAAATCAGAAAAGAATCCAGTCCCCTTTCTGCACCCCTTTCACTACCGGTTCTGTGAAATGGGAAATCTCCTAAATTTTGCCCCCCACAGAACTTGCGAATCAGGTTTCGAAACGAAACCGAGTTTCTGCTCCTATTTCAAGCCAGCAAAGGAAACCCTTGGATTTTCAAATTAATATTTCCTCCTTGCACGCCTGGATGCTTTTTCCAAATTAATGTTTCCTCCTTGCACGCCTGGATGCTTTTTTTTTCCCCCTCCCCCTTGAATGGTTCTCCCAGCCCCGGTGAACATTCAATGCAACGTTAGGATCCTAGAAAAGTTTTCTGCCGCCCCGAGAGCCGCCTCCCTCCGCAAGTACTTTCAGGCTGTGTAGCTTCGCGCTCAGGCAGCACTGATAGGAAAGCATCCCATTAAAGTAAATGGCGCTCCCTTTTGAGCCAACCTGCACACGGAAACGCTGCCCACCGGGTCACTTAAAAGCGTGGAGGAAGAAGCCATTTCGAAGGTCTCTCAAGGGAACGGGAAAAATCCACCGACCTTTGCTAAAAACGCCTTCAGATCCGCGGCTTCCAAACAACAACGGCAACAGCAACAGCAACAACCGGGGGGGGGGGGGGAGAGAGAGACCAACCACAAGCACCACCCCTGGGAGCCGAAGCGAAGAAAGTTTTCAGGCTGGCTCGAGTTCTTAAAAGAGCGAAGCTTTTCGGCGAGGGCCGCCGTAGGCCTAAAAACAATAACTGGAGCCTTTGGGCACTATTTTCTTTTTAACAGCTGCACCCGTCTCCAAGCCACCGGATTAGCCTTATATCTCCGTCGCCGATTCGTCCCGGGATTGTAAACACGGATCGCCTCCCGAGCTAATTGTGCTCGCCAACGGGAGGGAGACTCGGCACCCGCGGTCGAACAGATTTAGGTCCCGATTTGGAGACGGTCTTTCAAGAAAGGCGGGCGCAAGTTAGGCCTAGCCGACCGGGAAAAGGGGGAGGGGGGGAGGATGGAAAGGTAGAGCGGGGGGGGGCGGGTAGGGAGACACCTGGACTGGCCGAGGACCGGCTGGCATCGGCCGCCGCGGCGCCTCTCCGCGCACACCCAACCCAGCGTGGGAAGCTGGCTGGCTTCGTGGCAAGAGGGAGAAAGGACTGCTCCCCGATGGGGGGGATTCCGGGCGAGGGTCCTGCTTTTCCCGTGGACGCCGCCTAGCTTTGGCTGAGCCCCGGCCTGACTGTTCCAGGTCCCGAGGAGGGCGGCCGAAGGAGCCGGGGCCGGCCGGCCGGCTGGCTCCGAGAAGCCAAAGTTTTCCGCGTGGAGCCAAGCCTGCTCCCCCCCCTAAGCCCGGTCGGCCGCAGGCGAACGGCTTCCTCCAGCGGCGGACCCTGGGTGTCCGGGCAGAGTTGCTCGGGAGCCGGAGGTGGAGAGGATGGGGCTCCCTTCAGCTGCTCCTCTAGATGGGCCAGGCCGCTAACCGGGGGCCTCTCGGCAGCCGAGTCAATATTTACGCCCTCGGAAGCTCCTTCCCGCTGCGGGAAAGGCACCGCGCGTCGCCGGTTCGCTTTCTTGTTTTGTTTTGTTTTTAAATGGCTTTCGGGAGAGCTCTCCGAACCGGGCCCAGTTTGGACTCCGGGGCCGCGTCCGCCTTGGCCTCCCTTTTTTTTTCTTCTCCGGAGAACAGAGCGCAAGGAATCTCTGTGAACAAACCAGGATTTTTATTTTTATTTTTTAAAGGCTTTCTTTAAAACAAAATCAGAAAAAAAAGCTTTCTAGGTAAACAAGGAGAGAGAACGTGGGAGGAGACGAAGCAAACGAAAGCTAGCACCGTTTCATTATTTTATCTCCTTTACCTCTCTCGCTTTCCTCCCCCCTCCCCCCGCTTCTTCTTCTTTTTTTTTTTTTAAAAAAAGAGAAAACCCCTCTTGAATAGCTTCTTTATTGTAATTGTCTCACCCCAATTGAGCACCCCACTGCGCTGTTGTATCTTTTTACAACCCTTAACAACTCGCACCAGTAACATAATTACCTCCAGATATTTATAACGAGAAATTACTTCTCTATTTTCCTCCTGCTAGGCTGGGAACCTAAAAAGAAAGAGCTGGGATTAAATGCAGACACACACCAGCAGGAACTACAGAACTTTGTTTGTTTGTTTGTTTGTTATTTAAAAAAAAACGTTTTTAAAAGAGGAAGGAAGGAAGGAAGGAAGGAAGGAAGGAAGGAAGGAAGGAAGGAAGGAAGGAAGGAAGGAAGGAAGGAAGGAACACCCACCGAAGTCAGGCGTTGCAGCTGCCTAGTTCTGGGCTAAGGCAGGCCTAAGGCTTGTTCTTTATAAGTGGAAGGGCTGTTGGTACCTTAAGGTGGAAATTGCCTTGCCGGAGCAGGAGGAGGCTAGCTGGGTCTTGCGCTCTAGGTTTGGGGAGGGGAATAAAATGGAAGCCATTGTTTGCCTTCCATAGGCTTTGTGCTGGCAGTTCTCACCCCCTCCTGATCTTACTTTTTAAAGCAGTGAGGCGAGGTAGACAGCGTGTGTCACAGTACAGTGAAAGGGGGGAAGATCTAAAGACCAGAAAGAAGTTAAGCAGAATGAGTGGATTTCTCTCTTCTTTCCCTTCCCTTCTCGTTGCTCTCTTCTCTCTCAGAGAAAAAAAAAAAAGGGGGGGGGAGGTGGGATTGTTAGTGTCTCTTGAAAAATTGTTAGCGATTGTTAGTGCCTCTTGGGAAAAAAATATACATATGTTTGGGTTTTCTCACCAAAAGTAACGTTCCCACCAATTTAAAATGCCTCAGGTGAGAGAGATTTGCACATAACCGAAAAATGTCTTTCTTCTCCTTTTAGTATTGTTGTTGTTGTTCTTATAATTATATGTGGCAGCGAGCGTCCCTTGACTCAGAAAGTTCTGTTAGATCAGAGTAAGAATGTATTATACTCACTTCCATAAAAATCAACTCAAAGTCAAGTTGTTGGAGGGTTTGTTTGTTTTTAAATGCAGACACGCCATCTGACAAAATTTTGCATTCTTGCAAGAAGCACCCCAATATTATTAAAGAACGGGGGTATTCCTGAGAGTTTTAAAAGTGAAGAAAAGGTGGACACGTGAGTCTTTTGAACTGTTTTTCTTCCCAGTCCACGCTTGGGAAGAAAAACAGTTCAAAAGACGCACGTGTCCACCTTTTCTTCACTCTTTAAACTCTCAGGAATACCCCCATTCTTTAATTGGGGGGAGGGGGCAGGTGAATGTAGGGAAGGATGTAAACTAAAAAGTCCCTAATTTTATTTTTTCACACACTTTTCTTCTTCATCCTAGTGGGAAGACTTTAATCAGCACTACACAGATGTGCGGTTCCTTAAATTGCATGAGAGGAGAGTCCACTCATAAACCAGGCAAGTTTCGCCCTTCCTCCTCCTCCTCCTCCTTCCTTCTCCTCCTCCTCCTCCTCCTCCTCCTCCTCCTCCTCCTCCTCCTCCTCCTCCTCCTCCTCTGTTCCCCTATAGCACAAGAATGTGAATGAGTCTATATTTCCTTAGGGGTTCAAAGTGACCAGCCTCTCTTCTCACACGGTAGCTGATGTGCTGAGAGAGCTCAAGATTTTACTCAGAATGTGATTTATCTTGCATGATTGCATGAAAGATTCAGCGATTTGTTATTAATCAGGGTTGGGAGAGAACAAACAAATGATAAATTAATAAATTTGGGGCCTTAATTGAGGGGCCATAGAATGAATGACTTCTTAGACATAATAATACTGGAACTGCCAACCTGCCTCATTACCTTGGTTAATATTGATTTTATCACTAACAGTGCCCTCTTCCCGAGCCACGTGGGATCTTGCTTCATCAGTCCACAATGCAGAACAGTAAGTGGCTCTTCCTGTCTTTTGGGATGCCAGCTTGAGTATGTACAATTGAAAAGGTGGTTTGGCTTGGCTTGGGTGTGAAGGTGGCTGAGAAGAGAGAAAATTATGCATTTTGAAAATACTCTTCATAGTGGAAGAGAAAGCTGAAAGAGATTGGATGAATGAGGTTCTTTGAACTCTTCCAACAAGAGATGGGCTTTTGAACTTGGGGGAAGCACTGTGTGGTGGTTCTCCTTCTTTGTCCTCAAGGACATTTTGGAGGCCAAGACATCTTGGAGAGGTGGAAATCCACCCCTCTCAGGAGAACCTTCTTCCTTGTAATTGCACCTAGTGGAGATGGTGGTGAAAGAATATATTTTTATGGACTGACAACCCATTGGCTCTCAATAGACCCACTCTAATATTCATCTGCTTCTGGATTCCTCAGCAGCCCTTCAAATATGTGGATTCTTTCTGAGTGCTGTAGGGGGGACATTGGGAGAATAATGCTCTGTCTGAAGAGGGGAGGCTATTTCCTGACACAAACAGATTTCTAGAAGTCTGACTCTTTTGCTTGACTCAGTGCTGTGGATTCCTATCCACTTCACACCATCCCTTTCCCCAGCATTCTTCAGTGGTGGGCATGATAGCTCTCTGGCAGGAAATAGTGGAGCACTAAGGCCTGTGTAACTTTTGTACTTCTTAAAACTAGAAAAAGAGGGGGGGGAGAGGGGGAAGGAAGGAAGGAAGGAAGGAAGGAAGGAAGGAAGGAAGGAAGGAAGGAAGGAAGGAAGGAAGGAAGGAAGGAAGGAAACCCGATTCATTGCATTGTGGCAAAGTTCTCTGTTTGTTGTGGTGTAGTAAAAAAGAGGTGAGCTAGTTGAAATCCTCAATCTATCCGTGCAACTTTTATTAACCTGGAAGGAAATCCCCTTAGCAAGCAAGGTATTTGTCCAAGAAGGCGTGGTGGTGATGCCAGAGCGATGGGAAGCTGCTAGATCCAGCCCGATGGTTTTATCAGTCTGGAAGGCAAAGCAAAAGGTTGGAAGAGACCTCAGTAACCTCCTCGCCGTTTTGGTATATTGTCAGAATAAGCCCCAGCAACACCCAAAAAGTAAAGCAGACTAGAAACACCCAACTGTGTCCAGGAAACAACAGCGCCTGTTGCAGTTCTTTACTGATGCCCTAGCAATGAATGTTATTTCGAAACCCAAGCGACTTCTCCCTGGCCTTACGAATTCCCGAACCATGAATTTTTTTTATTTTTTATTTTTTTAAAAAAACTCCAGCTATCCTCTCTGGCGCAAAGGCACAGAGGCACGGTACAAACGGTAAGGGGACGTTGGCAGGCCGCTAGTCTGAAGGATTGGGCAGGGCGGGCGGTCTCCACCGCAAGGCGGAAAGGCATCAACTGAGCAAAGATGGGGCGCCTGCTGGTTTGGAACGCCTGACTTGTTCAGTGTATTTTAGGCACGGAGTTGGAACCGGAAAGCGCCGAGGTAGCCTGAAAGTTGCGGCGGGGGCTGAGGAGACGTCGTCCCAGATCTCGAGAGGGCCGTTCCCAGTCGCCAGCCGAAAGGGCTAGTTAGTGCCTTCCTTCCGGGACTCTCCGGAGCTGGGAAGGAAGGAAGGAGCCCTCTTTGATCTGGGTGGACGGCCCTACGAAGGGGAAGAGCCTTGTCTCTGCCCGAGGGAACACCCTCGCCAGGCCCTTCCGCAAGCTGGAGGGAATCCCTAGTGACATTGACACTAGGAAGGGGGAGACGAGCTTTGGGGGGGAAAGATGCCAGGAGTCACCCGGATATTTGTTTCCCAAATCTGTTTCTCAAAGAATTTACCCCCAGCCCACCCCGGCCGCGTCGTTTCCTGGGGAATTGGGTGGAGCACAGGTGCTTTCAGCGCGAGAATTAATGATCAGCTATTCTATTCTATAAGGTTGACTCAGCCTTCCATCCTTCCGAGGTAGTAAAATGAGGACCCAGATTGTTGGGGGCAATGTAATATATATATATATATATATATATATATATATATATATATATATATATATATATATATATATTATATATAATATATATATATATATATATACATTGCTTACTGGTGTACACCGCTTAGAGAGTGCTTGCACTTAAAGCGGTACATAAGTCTCATAAATAAATAAATAAATAAATAAACCCGCTCCGGATTTCCGCAGGGCCGTGATTTTGCGCGCAGCTCTGCCCCTTGGCGAGGGACTCAGCCCCAGATGGAGGGCACTCCGTAAAACCGATGGCACTCTTTCGCCCGATAAACAAGCACGCTTAGCCTTTAATAAGAAAGCCAGCCTTCTGGCAGCAGGTCGCGCTAAGCCTAACGCGACTTTATTTGTTTGGAGGTAGATATGAGCCGAGAGGGGAGCCGGACAGCCCTCCAGCCTTATCTGGGTGGGAAAGTTGCTATCCCGGCTGTTCTTGGGGACTTAGAAAAATAGCTCCCGTTGTGCGGCGTGCCGGGAAGGCGAGTAAGTTCGCCGGGTACTCCTGAGATCAAGGTAGGCTTGATCCCTTCAGGTGGACGGCGCCCTAATTTCCCCCCAGAAGTTATGCCGGTAAAATAACGTTGAGGTCTTTGCAAGCGATTCCCATCTTCAGCGCGTCCTGTTTGTTTTAAGCTTACTGTAACCCCGCACCCCTGGCCGGTTGTTGTTATTCGGTTGAGCTTCTAAATCCTAAAGATAGCTCGTTAGTATGCAAACTCCGTCGGGATTTCCTTGGAGAGAGAAGTGCAGGCGAGACCCGGTCGCGGAATCGGAGCTCAATAGCTTCGCTTCCCTCTCTCCTCTCTTCTTCGCCGGCCTCGCTCGCTCTTGCACGCAACCCGGGTCTGTTGCCACCTCCTTGGCTTTCGGAAGCTGGCTTGGAAGTAAGCCCCGTTGAGGCCCAGCGGGGCTTTCTTCTAAGGAGTCCCGCAAAAGCTCCGGCCCGGCTACAGGGGGCCCCTTCGGCTGCTCCAATCCAGCGCCACTCCTGATGAAGTCCAAGGTTCAACGCGGTTCGGCTCGCGGTCTCAGCTGCCTTTGGTTCTGGGGGGTTTTGTGCCATTTTTTTTTCTGAGCCCCAAACTCGCTTGGGTGTGTAGTTTCCGACTGGGGGTGGGAAGCAGCAACCCCCCCCCCCAACCGCGGGGTCTCTCTCTGTGCTAATGCGCCCCGAGGCCTGTTGGGGGGGGGGTGCGTTTCCGAGGTCCCTGGCGCTGCCTTTTATCTGCGGGTTCCTTTCGGGAACCTCCCTCGGTGGCTGGGCTGGGGTAGCGTCGGTGAAGCTTTTCCTGCTCGAGGTTGGCCTCGTCCCTTGAGACGGTTCTGATAAGGCCGCCTTGAGAGAGCGGTACCCCATATGTGCCCGGGCCTCCCTAGACAACGCGGGCCGTCTTTCCTGGGAATCGCAAATGCCTTTGCACTAGATTTCTCTCCCGACCCCATTCCTCCACCCTAGCCGCAGGAAGGGAGGGGAAAAAAAAAAAAAAAGCCCGCCGGGGTGATTTGGGTGGAGGTCGCGGCCGGTTTCCCCGGCTTTGTGCGGAGAACTCCTGCGTGTCTGCAGCCCGGCGCATCCAAATTGAGACCATATGTTTTCCCCTTAGAAGGCTCGCCCAAGAAGCCGAGGCGCGTAATCATTGCCACTGGGCTCGAACTGCCGGCGTTTCTCCTGGGAAATTAAGGCATTGATTAAGGCTTAACCTTTTTTTTTTACGCGGAATTTGGAAGTTGGGCTGCCTTCCTTGAGGCGCGGAGGAGGAGAGGCGGAGAACGCGGGCGAATGGCCTCCATCGGCTTCTGGGTTGGGGGAGACTGGGGTGTGGAGGCTTAGGGGGGAAAAAAAGAGCTCTCCTCTGTGCGCCTGGCAGGCCCAAGAGCTCCGAGCATCCGGTGGTGATGGAAACCTTCCCACCCCACCCCCACCCCCGGGCTCTCAGGGGAGCAGAAGGGGGCACCTGCTGCTGCTCCTCAGAACTCAGCTATGGAGTGGATTGTGGTCTCAGGCCTCCGCAGGTGGGGGGGAGGAAGAAGAGGGACGACCAAGATTTCCCTGAAGTCCAGGCCAACGGGGGAAGAGGAGAAAGAGACGATTTGGGTGCCGGTGTTGAGCATAAAGGCTCCCCAGGAAACAAGCACTTGGTGGAGGGAGGGCGAGAGGGGGAGAAAAAGAGAAAACCCCCCCTCCTCCTCAAGCTGCCTTTCTTGAGGTCCTTCCTGGTCAGCAACTCCATCCCAGAAGCCAAGAGAGCCGCTGTTTCTCCCCCGTTAGAGATTTTTTGCAGCCACGGCTAGTCAGTTCTCCAGTGGCCTTTACCAGAAGACTTTCCCCTCCTCCCAACCCGCCCCCCCCCCACTCCTCCTCTCCTCTCCCCACTGCTTTCTCCAACTCTTGTCACTTCGGATTTATCGCGGAGGCAGCGCGCCCCTTCGGTGGTGTCCAGATTGACCCTGTGGCTACCTTAAAAAGCCGCTTCTCCTCGAAGGGAAAGCTAGGCGAATTCACTCTCGTCGGAGTGATACCCAAATCCGGACAGAAAGGGTCGTTTTTATCCTGCTCCCGTTTGTCGTGGCGATGCAATATCCAAGAGCGGAGCACTGTCACAAAGTGACAGGTCTGCTACAAGTGCTCCAACTGATCTTTTCAATTAGCCTTCCATGCATGATCCGGGGCGACTTCCGCCTATTTCCAGAAATTAAGCTCAAACTTGACGTGCAGCTAGTTTTATTTTAAAGACAAATGTCAGAGAGACTCATCATATTTTCCTGCTCTTCTATATTTGGAGCTTATTTATTGCTAAGAAGCCGAGGCTCCTGGAGTCAATTTAGCAGACGGCTCCAAAGAGAGAAGGCGAGCGGAACAGAAGCAGAGAGAGAAAGAGGGGAAGAGAGAGAGAGAAAGAGAGAAAGAGAAAGAGAGAGAGAGGAAGAGAGAGGCCAGATCTTCTCCAGAGAACCTTTTTCCTCCAGAGCTTAAAGCTGCAGGTTGGGGATCCTTTTCGAACCCCCTTTTTGGGAGTCTTGCCTTTGGCGGGGGGGGGGGAAGAGAATGCAGACCAAGCTCGCGACTTTTCCTTAATAACCCCGGTGTCCCTTTTTCTCCCCCCTTCTTTTACCCCTCAACGCGTGGGGGGGGGCATGGGAGGGGAGAGGCGACTTTCTCGGAAATGGCACTCTTTGGGAGAGGGGGAGAACCAAGTAGCCTGGGCTTCTTCTTCTGTTTTGCAGAGCCGGGCATTGTGGGGGAGGGGAAGGGAGGGGAGGGGAGGACAGGCAAGGAGGACGGGGCACCCTTGCCGGGCCGGAGCTGTCTGCTGCTCCCGCAGCCAAGCGCCGGGCTTCCGAGGCTTCGGTTCCACCCCACCGCCCGACCCGAGAGACGGGCGACTTATTATTATTATTATTTTCCTTTTTTGCTCCCGCCGCCGCCGCCCCTCCCCCCAACCCCGCCGCTTCTTTTTCCTTGCTCGCTTTTGCCAAGTCTGCTGACAGGATGGCTCTGAGTGGAAGTGTGTAACCAAACGGTGCTCTTCTGAACCCAGCCGGCCGTCAATGGATTCGGCATTTAAGCTTAGAATCGGGGCGGGGGGGGGAGGGAGGTGGGGGGAGGCAAGGGGCTGGAGAAGCCAGCTGGGGCGGTGGGACAGGAGAGCCGAAAGTGGAGAAAGCCTCCCGCCCCCCCCCCGTCTGCCTCCCCTCTCCCTCCCCCCTCTAGGGTTGTCGAGCTGGGCTTTTCTTAATGCAACGGCCGTGTAGACTGAGATACCTGCCTGTCCGTCTGTCGGTTTTGAACTGCAAGGCGATTCCCTTTCTGTGCCTGTATAAACCTAGACGGCGACTGGAGAGGCCGGGGCTGCTACGGCTGTGAGACCGGAGGCTTTATTGCAACGCTTCTTTCCTTTGGGGGGGGGGAGCTCTTCTTTTCCTCCCACTGGTTCTTCCAGGCCCAGCTCGTGGGACACAGGGGCTTCAGCTCGACCGTCTCTCTCCCTCTCCCACCCACCCAGTCCCTTCCCTATCTCCCTCTACCGCCCACCCCCACCCCCCACCCCGCCCTTGCCTTTATCATGACCCGGGAGGGAGCCGCTGGGTCTTCCAGGTCTCCTCAGGTTGACCGAGACTTCCATTGTCCTTCTTTTCCTTCGCCCACTTCGCAGGTCACAGTGGCGTGAATCAGCTCGGCGGGGTGTTTGTCAACGGGCGGCCGCTGCCAGATTCAACCCGGCAAAAAATCGTGGAACTGGCCCACAGCGGGGCCCGGCCGTGCGACATCTCCCGAATCCTGCAGGTGAAAACGCCAGTCGCCTCCCCAGTTGGAGCCAGCCCGGGGCTTCTTGCTTGGAGAAGGAAAAAAGGGGAAAAAAAAAAAAAAACCAAACAGGGGAGAGGAGGGCTTTCCACACGGCTGCAAACTTCCCTGTCCAGCCTTCTGGGGGTGGGGGTGGGGAATCATAAATTATGCTCAGTGCATATTTCATGGGAAATAATATACATATATATATATATATTGCTTGACCAGTCTGTCTATATGCCTTATTTGTATGTGGGTCACCTAGTGCTGCAATAGTGCCTTATAGTCAACTGAGAATAACCTGGGCGAGGATAAGAGATAGCCATATTCCCCAATGGCCTTCTTGGAAATTTCGTCCCCTGTTCCCTTGAAGCTTCTTTCCAAGCCGCATTGCATTGGGGACGGAGGTGTGTGTGTGGGGGGGGCAAGCTAAGGTGTCCTCCCCACCCAGAGGTAGTAGTAGCTTCTGTTTTCTGCATGCATATATTAAGCAAAGGCTGAAAAACCAGCAATGCTCCAATCGCCTTTGCTGCGGCAATCCTTACCCGAGACTCCTCAAGACGTTTTGGCCAGGTCTTTGGCTTTAGGAAGGCAGTGGAATTCGTCTTTGATAGGTCAACTCCACCGCCCCGACATCCTTTCCCCAGGAATTCTATTTTGAAAACTAGCCTGAAGATGTTGTTAGTAGCTTATCTGCTAAACACCTTATCCACGTTGGCTATCTTCCTTCAGTTTTTCTCTCCCTTCCCTCCTGTCGAAAGTTTTTTTTTTTAAAGAACAAATATGTCACCTTTGTAGCATGTAGGCTCCCAAATGTAATCTTTTTTCTAAAAAAAAAAGAAAGAAAGAAAGAAAAGAAAAGAAAAGAAACCTCTCTAAGTAAGTTCTCATACCATTGAAGGTATATTTTTGTGTTATAGACCCATGCAGATGCAAAAGTCCAAGTGCTGGACAATCAAAACGTAAGCTTGTCATTGTTTAATGCATACTTAAACAATTTTATTTTTGTCTTGAAATTATTAATAATGTGATTTTCTGTCCACTTCCCTGATGCAGGTGTCGAATGGCTGTGTGAGTAAAATTCTGGGCAGGTATTACGAAACTGGCTCCATTCGACCGCGGGCCATCGGAGGTAGCAAGCCGAGAGTAGCGACTCCAGAAGTTGTAAGCAAAATAGCACAGTATAAGCGGGAGTGCCCCTCGATCTTTGCTTGGGAGATCCGAGACAGATTACTATCGGAGGGGGTCTGTACCAACGATAATATACCCAGCGTAAGTTCCTTGAGAATCTCTTTTCTGTCTGATCTAGAACAGCGTCATAGATAACCGTTTCCTCCCTGTTTTTTAGCTTCATAGTCCTCCCTTCTCTGGCTCACTGTCTGTCCAGGAGCGCTTAGAAAAAAAAATAATAACTTGGGATTCACTCTTGGCTTTTAAGCTCTTGGGAATTTAAAGAATAGAATGTGCTCCTTTTGAATATCCTAAATTTAAAAAAAAAATAAATCTAAAAATCTAAATCTAAGAACAACAACAACAAAAAAAAAGTGGGGAAATCTTTCTGTGTGAATTAGGAGTGGCTGAGCTGTTTCATCCTGAACGTTTCTTTCTAATTTGAAGAGAATGAGGCATTTTTGCCCCAGGCTATTCACTTCCCAAGGAAATGGAAAGGACTCAGGCTAACACACTCGGCCCTGCCAAAAGGGATCTAAATTTGGCTGCCTCTGCCTTGGTGCCAACTATGTTTGAGGGCACAGCTGAACCCACTTGCTTGTGCCACATGCTTTTCACTAGGATCTCAGCTTTTTGTCTTAGGCTCGGTAGCATATGCCTTGCCTCCTGAATGCATCCCCACCCTACCCCAACCCAAAGTCTTGGGATGGCAGCCTAGCGCTGCATCAATCAGGGCCCACTGATTAGCGGGGGCCCTACTGAAAGCTGGGAGCTTGCAATGGAGCAAGAGGGCCAGGGTCCTGAAGGCTGCTTGCCAAGGACTCCTGGTGAAATGAATTGGTGGGCATGATCCTGGGAAGCCAAGTGAGTTTTGTTTCACTTCTGGCTTTCTCCTCTGGGTGGACAGTCGACCTGTGGCTGGAATGGGAAGTGGGGTGGGTGGGTGGGTGAGGTTCTGCACCACTGTGCCTGCCATTTGGTGGAATGCAATTTTCCTTCCAGGTCTCTTCGATCAACCGAGTCCTACGCAACCTGGCTAGCGAAAAGCAACAGATGGGAGCAGATGGAATGTATGACAAGCTAAGGATGCTGAATGGGCAGACAGGGACGTGGGGCACCAGGCCTGGGTGGTACCCAGGCACATCTGTCCCAGGACAACCAACACAAGGTAGGCAGGGAAGGGAGTTGTCAACTGCTCCTTCCCATCTCCCCCCTTCTCCTCCCAGGTCAATCTGATTTCTCAAATGATCCTTCAGAGCCTAAAGGAGCAACTCAACACAGGCCTACCTGATTCATTTCCAACTTCCCTCTCACTCTCTACTCTGCCTCCCTGGGAATGCCCACTTAAAGGACACTTTATAAAAGCAGTGATTTTTCAGTCCAGTTTCCTAAATCCCACCCTTTATCTAAGGAGACCTCCAGACAGTATAGAGGGTGGACTAGGCCAGTGATGGCGAACCTTTTAGAGACCAAGTGCCCAAACTGCAACCCCAAACCCACTTATGCATTGTCGGGTGCCGGGTGGGTGTGGCCCATTGTCTGGGTGTGGCCAATTGGGTGGGTGTGGCCCCTTGAGTGGGTGTGGCTGCGGTGGTAACGGCAGACTGTGTGGGACTAAAAAGTTCAATCAATCAATTCCAACTTTGCAAGATCTTTTTTTTTTTCCCATTAGAAGTTGAAATTGACTCATTGATTGAACCTCTTTTTTTTGCACTTGGCGGTGGAGGCCTAAAGCGAAAAGGTTTTATAAAACCCAGCTGAAAGCCTAGGACTGGGGTGGCGGCGTGCGTGCCCACAGAGAGGGCACAGAGAGGGCTCTGAGTGTCGCCTCTGGCACCCGTGCCATAGGTTCACCACCCCTGGACTAGGCCGTTAAAAACAAACTGGAGAAGAAGAGCCAGTGGGTGAAGGGTTTAAGGGTTGGATAACAACGGAGAGAGAGTGGGCCTAATCCATACCCAACCACAGAAACTCCCTGGGTGACTTTGAGCCAGGCATTTCTCTCAGTCCACCTGCCTCTAAAGGGTTGTTGTAGGGAACCAAATGGAAGAGAGAGCACTCCTTATGTCCTCTTGAGTTCCTACATTGGCTAAGAAAGCTGCCCAAGTCACCAGCAGCAGAGTTTCAGGTTGCTTTTATTAAATCAAGTCCCTGCACAACCGGGCCATTCCTTTCTCCCAATTAAAAGGCATCAGGTGCTAAGCCGCTGATAGACTCGGAGCAAATCCTCACTGTATCAGCTTGCTTTGGAAGCGTAATTATGAAGCCCTGAGTGGGGAGAAGCATCCCCAACGATGGATGGATGGACGGGCTAAAAAAAACACAGCCCATGCAGTTCTTCTCTTTCGGGATCTGGTTAGTCCACAGGAGAATTACCACCCATCCCTCTTGTTGAATCTTGTCTTTCTTTGCCAGAAAATAAGTACTGAAGTATTGAAAATAAGTATTGAAGGGAAGGGAAGAGATGGGAAGGGAACAAAGAGGCAACTTGTGCAAGAATCCCCTGCTGTTGTGGGTTATTTCTACTTGTTCCTTTTAGATAAGTCTTTGGCATTTTGAAACCCAGGCTGGAGTATGTTCGGATTTGTTTTTTTCAGGGGACTCCAAATTCAGGGGTTCATCACTGCTTGCAGGCTCTGATAGCAGCTATGCCTGGGCATCCCCAACTCGCTTGTGGTTGGGGCAGAGAGGCATGCTTTCACATCCCCTTAGCTTGGGTTCACCCCCTTGAGGATTGGGGCTTCTCTGCTTGCTTGTGTGTCCTCTGTCGGGGTGGCTCTGGTCAGCTTTTCCAGCGTCCAGTAGCCAACACCCTACTTTGTGTTGTCTGGGAAAGGAGAAAGAAGAGAGGAAGGCGGAAGGAAGAGAGACACCGAGAAAACGAGAGCGGCAGAGAGAAGGAAAAAAAGAAAATCAGTAACAATATGCAGAATATCTGGTACAAAGGATGTTTCTGTCACACACAAGAATTTGTTATGGGAACAATTCTGTCGCTATGTAATTGCTCATTAGAGATCGTTTTGTTTCTCATTAAGGCGACATGAATAAGCGTCTAGTTGAAGGAGACAGCTGTAGAAATGTTCCACAGGAGACCTCTGGACACGATATGGCACCGGTTGCCAATTAGACATGTCAGTTTTAAGAGAAGGGAGCTTTCTAGGAGGGACCCTGGGAAGATCGGAGTTTTGGGCCAACCCATTACTGCCCAAGCCTCATCTTGAGGGAGGGGGGAGGGAGACATAGGTGGCTGAAGCTAGTAGAGGACTGAGTCCAATACTGATTTTTCTGGGGGGGGGGTTGGCTCTGCTCTCTCCATCCCACTATTTCTTTGGACGCCAACACTTTGAATTCCCTCTGGGAGGCAGCACAATCTATCTATCTATCTATCTATCTATCTATCTATCTATCTATCTATCTATCTATCTATCTATCTATCTATCTATCTATCTATCTATCAGCTCTATGCATTGTGTGTAGATGTTGTGGAAAGGGCGATGGGAACAGGTTTAGATCCAGAAAGTGAAATATGTGCTGCAGGAACAGCAAGAAGGATTCCGGCCACACTTCAAGGTTAGTGGCTCTTTCAAGACAGATCTACAGCTATTCCCATTTCCCTTTTTTTGTGAGCCAGAGCAAGCTCATTCCTGTAAAACGTTCGGCCACAATAAATCTGCCTTGAAAGAACTACCAGCTCAAAGTTTTCCATGGCTTCTGCTGTCTTATGGTGTCCTGAAAAGCACCAAAGCATGGAGAAAGCCTTGGGCATTGCTGTTCTCTCAGGACTGCAGCCAGGCAGTCTGGGACAGCCAAACCAAATCCCAGAGGAGGGGTGGCCCGTTAAAGGAGCCTACCGGGTTTATTTGTAAGAGCCTCTGGACTCCGGGAGTTGCTCCCTCGGTTCAAAGATGGGAAAGTCGGGGAGGATGTGTTCAAAGGTGGGAATTGCCACCAGCAAGGCATTCAGATGGGAAGAGGAGGGACCAACGTGTGGGCCAAGGGGAGTTGTTTGAATATTTTTAACAAACGGAGGACTCCCTTCATGGTACCTAATGCCAGCTGTGTTGGCAAGCCCTTCCCTAGGTTTTAGCTGTAACCTAGCCAATTCCGGCTGGGGAGGCCGAGGGGGTTGTCCTTTAGTTCGTCAGGATGACACCAGCTGGAGAATGTTGTGCACAGGAAGATCCCAGAGAGGTTCTAGATTGGGGGGGGGGGAGGCAGAGGCAGTTTCAGAGTCTCTTCCGTCCTGAATTTCAGCCAGTTCAGCTCAACCTTGAAAGTCAACAGCATTCTGGTAGCTTAGGTGAAGGGGGAAAGGATTTACTGAGGCCGAATCCTTACACACTCACTTACACGCCCCTTGGACTCTGAGACAAAAACAGCCTGGGCAGATTTGGATCTGGCACATCTGACTTCAGACTTGAATAGGGCAGCGCAAGCAGAACTCTCTCTCTCTGCTCAGGGGAAGATTTTTGCACTTATACCCCACTGACACACCTGTGGTTTAACTCTTTTCCAACCCTTTAGCTGGTCCCTTCCGGTTTCTCAGCGCGTGTGCCCCCGGATCCTAAATGGAAATGCCAGGAAAAGGCCTAATTTAATTTCAGATTAAATCTCCTGCCTCTCTTAGTCGGAAGTAACCCCGGGCGGGGGGGTTATTTAGTGAAGCCAGCCTCTGCTCATTCACGCTGGGGGTGGCACACGAAACAAGCTGGAGATAAGACAATATCTTTGTAATTGAACGGACTTCCTCTTCTCAGAGAGCTCGCTTTTAAGATTGCCAGCGTTGACCGAAAGCGCACCGCGGATTGATTGTAGCCTTCCTTCCCGAGGCTTTGAGGATCGGGATATCCCCAGTCAGAGCAGGGGAGCTCTCGGGAGGGGCGGGGGTGGCCAGAGACCCCCACCTCACCCCCACTCCTCCCTCGTTTGCACAGCTGCAGCCTGAAAGCGTGGAAAAGCGGGGAGCTGCGGCGCCCCAACAGGGCTTAGCTAAGGTCTTCCGAGAGAGAGAGAGAAGCGAACCGAACCCGGAGCCGCTGCGCTGGGCCAGTTCTGGCGACTCAACGGGAGCCAGATTCAGGATCGTTCGCCCAAGTGTGGGAAAAGATTCCGGAGGGCCACGAATGAGGGTGGCGAAGGGCTGACCCCCCCCCGTCTTCGGTCCATGGCCACCAGCCTCTCAGTTGAGATTAATGGGTTCCTCTTTCCCTGCCCTCTGCCCCCTCCCACCCGCCTCAGCTTCCAGGAGGCGCATCTCTGCACTCAGCCGTAGCCGCTTCGACAGGATGCACCCCCCCCCCTTTTTTTTTTTTTTTTTTAAAAAAATGCCTTTTAATCCAAGATACCTAATAGTAGCGTGTGCCATTCTGCTCTTCCGAGAGGAGTTGGTGCTTCTTCTCTTCTCCTTGTCGGAGAAGCTCGAGGCCGAAGGGCAACGGCGGGGGGCTTCGGCAGACCCTCTCCCCAAAAGACGCAGACCGTCTTTCTCTCCCGGGGCGCTTGGTGAACTCGTCCCGAAAGGGCAACCCTGCCCTAAAGTCTTCCAAGCGCGCCCAGGCCTCTCGGCAGATGGAGGCGGTTCTTGGGAAGCTGGCGCTGCCTGCCAGTGGTGATGCTAGCTGGGGGGGGGGGGAGGCTTTGGGGTTTGGTCAGGCAGGAGTGCGGCAGAGAGCGGGCTGCCTTTCAGCCGGACCCTGGGAGTCGCTTTGCGAAGCCGGGGCCGTAGCCTGTGGTCTTGGGGGGGGGGGGCTGAAGCGGGGCAGGAGTCAGCCAGCCCCAAGGAGGATCGCGGAGGAAGGCAAGCAAGCACACGCTAGCTTCTCTCCCCGAAGGGTACCAGCTGCTCGCTCCCTAGAAGTCCCTACGCAGGAGCTCTCCGTTTTGTACCAGGGGCTTCCTCGCCCAGCCCAGGAATAGAAAGAAGGGTTGAAAGAAGGTTTAGCTGACTGTGTTCAGCAGGTCAGCGGTTCAAATCTCACCGGCTCAAGGTTGACTCAGCCTTCCATCCTTCCGGGGTAGGTAAAATGAGGACCCAGATTGTTGGGGGCAATGTAAATATATATATATATATATATATATATATATATATATATATATATATATATATATATATATATATATATATATATATATATATATATATATATATACATACATACATACATACAT